CAGGAAGTCATCCAACTTGGTTACAGCTGATCTGACTTAGTCACAATTAGGATTCGATATCTTTCAATCCATTCCATTAATCCATTAGGTTAAATTTAGGCATTTTGAGCTAAACCGTCCCTAGTATGTCACCGTCCCATACCGGTACACACAATCCTCCATATCCATGTAAATTACAACATATATAACCGTTTAATAATTTACAGACCCAAAACCACCATCCAAATAATTGCAGAAAAATATTTAAAGTTTCAGCAATTTAAATCCAAGCATTTAACCATATAGTTGCAGGAAACGATTTAAAAATTCAGCAACTAGCCTCTCGAGCATGCATAGATCAAAATTAATAATTAAATGACCTTATCATGCATTTTAAAACAAGTTTTATAAACACATTACATTCCATCAAATTGATGAAATTTAATTCAACAATTAATTTAACCTCCATTTGTTAACAACATAGGAAGTGCCTTAATTTTTACACTGTTTGTCCCGACAATTTAGAATTAAACTTTAATCAATCTAGGGCCTTAATAACACTCAAAATTCATTCCTTAATCCCTCTGTAAAGTTCCAGATTCACTTAAATAGTCTCCATGCTCCAACAGTGTTAAATAGTACGTAGAAAACTGAAAAAAAAATAACAAAAAAAAAACAAAATTGAAGATGGAGCCTGCTCCAAATTTTGGGAGCAGGCTCTTTCAGCCTAGAGCCGGCTCTACTTGTTGTGGGAGCCGGCTTCCACATCCATGGAGCCGGCTCTCACCTCCTTTGAGAGCCTCTGTCCTCGTTCTGCTTCGTTTCAGTCCGTCTGCTCCCTCTCTGATTAATTCCTACCACTTTGTTGGTTTCTAAAACTAATCTTAGGAGTCTTAATTTAGTCTAGAAGCATCCCCAAGGTTGTTTACAATAAATTTGAAAACAATTACAAGGTTTAAACAAAGCCATTTAAACTAGCATTGTTGAAGAACAACTCTGAAACTAATTTGCAACATCAGTTCTATCCCAACCCCTCTTTTCTTCCTCTAATTTAAATTTGAAGGTCTTAAATTACATCTAGTATCCATTCAAACCTTGGTTGATTTCAGTAAGATCAAAAATAAAAATTAGAACAGTGGGACGTTATGCCAAAACAAAGAATAGAACACATACATGACAGAATGGTTTTACAGATAAATTTTCACGGTTAAAAGATCCTCAAGTAAACATATATAAATCATGCATGGTTCAGTTAATGGCCAATTAATCCCCTAGAGGTTATCTAGGTGCGCAGAACACAAGCCAGAGGGAAGGAGGAAGATAAGAACTTGCCTATACAGTTTTATAAACAAAACCTTGTCGCCGTTGTTCTAAGCTTTCCGGCAACCACTGACTACCTTCTAGCCTCCTCTGGTTCTAATCTAATCCACCAAAATCCTCCTTTGGTCCTCTCTGTTCTTCTCCTTGACAGACCGTTACGATGCTCTGTTCTCTCAACTTCTCTCTTTACAGAACCAAGACTTGTTTTTCTCCAAACCTTTAACCAACGAAAGCACTATATTTATAGACGTACAACCCTAAACCCTAATCCTTGTTTAATTAGAGCCACAGCCCTAACATAAACCTTGGTCGGCCCATATAAAAAACCTACGTCTAAAGTGTCGGCATTATAAACGTACTTAAGTTAATAACCTAAAACTATCATTACAAAAATAAAATAAAATAGTGAATGCACAAAAACATAATATCATTAACAATTCAACTCAAATACCATTTAATAAACCCAACCAATCAATTAATCAATTTAAACACACCAAATAAATAAACAAAGGCAAGAAATCAATTAAACAACCAGAATAACCAATTAAACAAATAATTAATAATTAAACAAATAAAAATCCAATAAAATAATAAATAAAACTACCGAGACTATCCTTTTAAAAATTAGGAGTATTACAGAGTCGCCCTAGCGTGGTTGAGCTAGCTGGACCCCATAATGACGCCGCGGGGTTACCAAGGGTCAGGGACACTAGCCAATCCTCCTCTCGTGTTGCGGCGGGGTTACCAAAGGGCGGGCTGTATTAACAATTGGAAAGTGATGGTTTTGAAGGATGAAAATGGGGAGTGACATTTGCATGCATTACATTTCACTACATCGCATTGATTATACTTGGATTTGACTTGTATGTTGTATTGATCCCCTATGTTGCATGATCCCTATTTCCCATTGGCCTATGCTTTGTTTGGATTCACAAGGACATAAGATATGTGTTTTAAGTGTCACCTGCTGAGCTTTATGCTCACCCTACTATATATATTTTTTTTTCAGGTCTTGGGAAAGAACCGGTGGACGATAATCCACCTCAAGCTTAAAAGAGATGTTAGAAGATTATTTTTGTTCCTTTTGTATTAGGCCACCTTCTTGTATATGTATAGTTTTGGAAATGTAATTAAAGTTGTTCAAACGGCCTTGTAAATTAAGAATGGAACTTACCTTGTTGATGTAATTGGAGTGTTGGAAGTATTGTATATACATAATTCTATGTATTTCAATCAATGGTGTTGTAATGTGATCACGGGTTAGTTTGTTTGTTTCTAATCATAGAATGACTCATGATTGACATTTTATATTGAGCTCGAATCATTCCCGGGTATTCTTTTCAGTTTCTCCCCTATTTTCATAGCACAACAGTTGAGTATCAGATTCAAGTCTCGGGATCTCCATTTCGGTCGACCGAAATGGTGCATCGGTCGACCGAAATAGAATTCTTCACTCTCAGGATCTCACTTCGATAGACCGAAATGAGGTTCGGTCGACCGAAGCAATTTTGCTGCTCTCGGTATCTACCCTTCGGTCGACCGAAATAGAATTTCGGACAACCGAAGCTCAGGAGCTCATTTCGGACGACCGAAGCTCCACTTCGGTCGACCGAAATGAAGCTGAATGTTGTTGCTCCGTTCTTCTCTTCGGGTATTCATCACTTCGTACGTTCTAAATGTTCATGATCTTGTTTAGAAGTTTGATCCTAGTGGAATGATGACATTTCGACTCTCGAAATGATAGGTTCGGCGTTGACGACCCCGGGTTCGAGTAAGGACCCGTGTAGCGGTCCGGGCCTCCGGGTTCGGGTCGTTACAGAAGTATATTTTATGCTTACAACCCCTTGAACTATCACATTTAGTTACAAAATGCTCCAATGCTTGGACTATATTTTATTAAATGATCATAATGTCATTTTTTATTGAATCACACTTAATTTATTTTTTTCTTATTGAAATAAATTATGAAAAAAAAAAAATCATACTAATTTGATGATATATTCTTCATTAAATTTGCATAATATTGCTTTTAATTTTTTTTAATTCAATTTTTAAATAAAAACTTAATTTTTAAAACAATTTAAGTAATTTCTTAATTTTTAATAAATTTATTGCATAAAAAAGATGGTATTTTTTATTTAAGTATTTATGAATTTTTCATGAATATATTGCAAGTAAAAGAAGGTATTTTTATGGTATAAAAGTTTATAGTGAGTATAAAAACCTTTATTATAAATAATCAAGTTTTAATAATAAGTTAATTTCTAAAAAAACATTCTTGTGCTTTTATTGGACTTTCGAAATATGGACTTGGGATGGCCAGACTATCCTTATGACGTCACTCTTTATTAAAATATATGACGTCACTCTATATAAAAATATATAATTATGATGAGTGGTATTCTCTTATGCTTTATGAGCATATTCCCGAATCTAATGCTCTAATCAATTATATAGCCCTATGACGTCACTCTTTATAAAAATATACATTGGTACTTCAGTAATTTATCAAAGTAACGTGAGAATATTTCGGTAAATTAGACAGGTCTGTTAATGCATTTGATTGTCCGTTACTAATAAGAGAGGTCTGCTTAGGTTAGTTTCATTTTTAAGGAATGTCTGAATAATTTCCTAAACCATGAGAGAGTTTTATGTAATTATGACCAATCATAAAAAAAAAATATGTATTATAAGATAACAATAGAGGGGACAACAACCTAAGCGTCCAATTTCATTCATGATTGGAATTTCTTATACATGAAAACAAGTACAAAAATCCAAGCGTATATTTTATTTGATGAGTGGAATTCTTATACATGAAAACAAGTACAATAATTTGATTCTAACGCCAATATAAATATAAATATAAAGAAGAAGAAGGAAAGAAGCAAGGAAAGTACAAGTTGAAAGAAGGTTAAAGAGACTACATAACGATGTAGAACTTTTGAACTTGAATTATATTCTGATAATAATATAGATCTTAGCTCATTGTTTATTCTAACTCCTTCTCCTGGTTGTGTCTTCTTGTTCTATATTCTTCTTCTTCCTCTTATCCACCCGCATAACTGTTTATAATATTAATTAATAGTTGTTGTTAGTGTCCGTTATGGTCTAGGGATTAAAGTGAATATATTAATGATCCATATACACTAGCAGATATTTATTCTGTCACCTCTCCTAACAAATTTTATATGAATTTGTATATATGTACTTTGTTGAGTTTCAAAAATTCATCCATTTTTTTTTTTTAAGCAACTTTCATCTGAATTGTTCTAACAGTTTGTTCTCTAGCAAACTTGATCATCTAGGTATTTAGAGTGATGAACATTGTCAATGTTGAGATGAATTATGGCAAAACAAGAATGATAGAATTAGAGATGAATTAATTGGAGACAAAACAGAGAAAGATTAAATAAAATAAGAAAAATATAAAGATATTTTGGACATGAACAAAGAGATCACTAAGTGCACCACTTGAAGGGACGATGCTATTTACACTGAGGGGAAATTTTAAGGTAGAAGATAGAGAAAAAGTAGCATGGTAGAGTTAGTAAGAAAAAAATATAACATGAAATGCAAGGCATGTGATCCAAGAAGGCAACAACACATGTAATCTTAATTTAATCAGTTTTCACATTTTTCTGATGTAGTTGTTGTAGAAGAAAAGAAATTCATTAACCAAAAAACATTATACACAGATATAATGAAAACATACATACCGCACACAACTAGCTAGAAAAACACAGAGTATACAGAACCGAAGCAAGACATGTCCACTAGATCTTAAAGAAAATCAAGCCAATAGACTGACAGGGTTACAGACAACACCATATATATCCATATGTTTTTTTCCTATCAAAATGAACCAACAGATGTGTGACACAGCAAAATTCATTTGAGACGTTTCAGTATCATGGAGCATAGGAGCTACAATTAGTTCCACCTCTCAAAGCAGTGCAACCTGTTGCAATAAAATCATGCTATCAGCATAGAACATATATATATATATATATATATATATATATATATATATATATATATTCTTATTATCCTTGATTCCTGGGGACCTGGACATAGGCATTCTTGGAAATATAGAAAATTAGTACCAGTGGCACATAAATGTCAAAATTTGATATACACAACTAGAAGTAACATAAAACAGATACCTTCATGATTCTTGCATAGAAACTTATATCTAATCTTCTCTAGTGTTGTTAGCGCTTCTTTCATGGTGATCCTCTCCTGTGGTGATTCTGCACAGCAATTCAGAGCCAATTGCATGATATACACATTGCACCTTTGCACTTATTTGTCCTTGCTCTTGCTTGAGCAAGTTGGCATCTATAACCTGAATTATTACATTAGGTAGTGACTCACTTACCCATAGCTTTAAGCTTAAGTCTCCAGCAAACATCTCATCAGTTGGCTTAGTCCTTGTAAACATGTCCATTAACTGTAAATGTCGGACCTTTTTTATACTAGTCCTTCCAATCCATACTCAATTTCCAACATCAGATTTAATCAAAAGAATTAAATGTGGAAGGAAAGTAAAACTCCAATTAAAAATTGTTTTAAGCTAAAATGAAAAATAAACAAATAACTAAAGTAAGATTTGAATAAATACAGAAGTTAAAACTTCACCTGGTGCTATATATCCCAAAGTAGCGAGAGTTTTGGTGTGCACAAAACTTTCCCCCTTATCCAAGAACTTTGAAATTCCAAAATCACTAACATGTGCGACCATATCTTCATCTAGCAGGAAATTATTAGGATTCAAATCACAGTGAACCAATTGTATTGAATAACTATGGTGGAGATAGTCCAGCGCTCTTGCCACATCTATCATTATGTTTAATCTCTGGAGGATATCTAAGAAATAGTTATGAGAGTACAACCACTTTTCGAGACTCCCATTAGCCATATATTAGAGTACCAAGGCTCTGAAATCTAGGTTGGAAGAACCGCTGATAACTTTGATGAGTAATTGAAAATGCACAAAACTTTGTATCATAGACTCACTTTCAGTTTAAAACTGTCAGTTACCTACATGGGTAACCATGTCATCATATAGGTTAAATTTTATTTCGCTAATTCAAATCACTATGATTAAGATTTCGTAAAGCAAATGCAACATAAGCATTGTTAGAATGAAATCACTTTGGACAGATCCCATTAAAAATGTACTGAACGCATCAAGGCTACACCATAGTAATAATTAAAAAAAACATTATGCATAGATACCATAAAAACATGCATGCAGCATGCAGCATACAGCTAGAATACACAGAATAAAAACAGCAAAGCAGTACATGACCACTAGATCTTAAAGACAATCAATGAAATGAATTGTGACATAACATATATGTGCCTCCACCAATGTCATCTATCTATTTTACAGAGCAAACTCCCTTTCAGACATAGTTCTGATATCATGGAGCAGAGGAGCCACCATCGCTTCCACCTCTCAAAGCAATGCAATCTGTTGCAATAGAATCATGCTATCAGAACAAAACATCTGAATTTCTTAATTTATTTAAGTTATTATCCTTGATACAGACATTCTTTGAAAGAAAAAATTAAAAACTTAGTACTAGTGGCACATACCAAGGTAAAATCACAACGCTTTCCTATGGTTTGGAAGTTAATTGTATAAATTATTTGATTAACAGACTACTTTTAAGAAATGCCCTCTTAAAATGAGGTGAACTTCTAAATATGGCAATAATAAATTTGATATGTACAACTAAATGTAACATAAAACAAATACCTTCGTGTTTATTGCCTTCACGGCTTGCAAGAAACATATGTTTGATCTTCTTTAGTGTTGCCAGGGCTTCTTTTATGTTTATCCTATCTTGGGGTGATTCTGCACAACATTTCAGAGCTAATTGCATGATGGATGATACACACTGTACCTTTGCACCAAGTTGTCCTCCTTCTCGACTGAGCAAGCTGGCATCTGTAACCTTAATTATTGCATTACGTAGTGACTCACTTACCCAGACCTTCAAGCTCAAATCTCCAACAAACATATCGTCAGTGGGCTTGGTTCTTGTAAATATTTCCATTAACATAATACCATAACTATAAACATCGCATCTTGTGGATACTAATCCTTCCGATCCGTACTCTACATCCAACATTAGAATTAACATGTACAGGGAAATTAGAACACCAATTAAAAATTTTGTTACTATTAAAAGAAACATTAAAGTAAATTTGAATGAAAACATAAGTTAAAAGTTTCACCTGGTGCAATATATCCTAATGTAGCAAGAGTCTTGGTGTGTGTAATACTCTCACCCTCACCCAGGAACTTTGAAATGCCAAAATCACTGAGATGTGCAACCATATTTTCATCCAACAGAACATTGTTGGGCTTCAGATCACAATGAGCCAACGGAATTGAATAACCATGATGGAGATAATCGAGCGCACATGCCAAATCTATCATTATGTCTAATCTTTGTAAGATATCTAAGAAATAGTTAGGAGAATACAACCACTTTTCAAGACTCCCATTAGGCATGTATTGGAGCACCAAAGCTCTGAAATCTAGATTGGAGCAACTGTTGATTATTCTGGTGAGATTTCTATGACGAATGTTGCGCAACATTTCACATTCTGTATCAAAACTCTTGGAAGCACCTTCTAGTTGCTCATTGAATACCTTGATGGCAAAAATGGTCCCATCTGTAAATCTCCCTCTGTAAACAGAACCATAACTTCCCATTCCAAGCAAGTTTTTATCACTAAAACCATCAGTAGCGCATAGAAGTTCTTGGTGTGAAATTCTTCCTTGTGGTAACATGGGTAACAAATCTGTTTCAATTGGAATTCTGTTTCTCTTTCGACATTTTATTGAGACAAATGTTAAGATCAAGGCAATTAAAGCAATTGGCAACAAAATGTAAACAACTAGAACAATTTTTTTTGTTCTTGATCTGTGAAGAGAGCTTGAACGGCATGGTGGGACTTGGAACTGTGGGGCACCACAGAGGGCTTCATTTGACTTGAAGGATTGATTTATGAAGTTTACAAATGGTCCTCCACTGGGAATTTCTCCTCTTAGCCTATTGAATGATGCATTGAAATACTGAAGAAGCAGCAGTGACTCCATTGACTTCGGAATTATGCCTGAGAGATTGTTGTAAGATAGATCCAAGGATTGCAAGCTTATCAAATTGCCGAATGACTGAGGAATAGGTCCTTGTAGTTTATTGTGTGCCAAAGAAAGAATGATTAAGCTTTGCAGACCTCCAATTGAGTTGGGGATATCACCAGAGAATCTATTCAGTGACAAATCTATTTGTATTGCAGCCTTTAAAGTTCCAATCTCTGAGGGAAGATAGCCACTTAAAGAATTTGAGGACAAGTCCATATACAAAATATCTTTGAGGCTGAACAAATTTATGGGCACTGTGGAGGATAATTTGTTGGAACCCAGAAAAAGTTTTCTTAGAGATGTAATATTCCCTAAGCAAGTTGGAATGGGACCAAAAAGTTCATTTTCATTCAGAGCTAATAAACCCAAGTTGTGTAAGTGGCAAAGATTATTTGGAATGGGGCCTTGTATCTTGTTAATTCCAAAATCTAAGATTTGAATCTTTTGCAACTCTTTCATTGTCGTTGGAATAGATCCAGTGAAGCCGTTGCCACTTAGACTTAAGAAAGCTAAATTGGTCAAGTTACCAATATGGTTGGGAATGCTGCCCTTAATTTCACAATAACTTGCCCGGATATCTTGAAGTGAAGTGGAAAAATTCCCAACGGAAACTAGAAGGATGCCATTCAAAGGATTGTTATCTATCCACAATGTTGTCAAGTGTTTGCAATTTGTCAAGGCAATGATAAAACTTAATTCTTGGTTTGGAGATTCGCTGTTGAAATTGTTCCATGATAGGTCTAGAAATTCTAGTTGTCTCAAGTTACCAAGTGAGTTGGGAATTGAATGATTAAAATTGTTATTGGAAAGTTCTAAATGAGTGAGTTTGGAAAGATTTGAGATAGAGTGAGGGATAATTCCATTGAATTTATTTCCAGCAATGTATAATCCTTCAAGATTGGGTAACCTAATCCTTGACGGAAGTTTGCCTAAGAGATGATAATTGTTAACCAGTGAAAGGATTCGTAGTTTCGACATGTTGAAAATTGTTTCCGGAATCGGACCTTTTAACCTATTCAAACTTAAATCTAAAAAATCCAGATCGTGAAGGTTTCCAATCTCTTCTGGTATTGCACCTGCAAATCAAAATGTATATATTATAACACAAAAAGCAAGTAAATTGTTGGCATATGCAGAATGCAATGATTACCAGTTCTCTTATGTACATTTTAGCAAGTACTACATCTTTCTTTGTGTTGGCGATCTCACATAGTAAAGTTTATGAGAAGATGTTCTAATAAGCTCCCATCCATTGAGAAAAAAGAAAAAAGGAAAAAAAGAGAAGGAAGAAGGTATTTTAAAGAAAGTTGGATATACTTGATAATTAAGAGGGTACCTGTGAAACTGTTCTCCCCCACAGATAATTGAATCAATGAAGTAGAGTTTCCAATTTCTCTTGGAATGCTTCCATACAGTTCATTTCTGTAAAGATAAAGTTTCTGGAGCATAGGAAGATGCCGGCTCATCCCACTTGGGAGACTACCAGTAAAGTGATTCTTAGCCAGATAAATCTCTTTCAAAGAAGAAATGTTAAAGACAAAAGATGGAATGGTACCAGTGAGGCCAGCTTCCTTAATTGATAGTATCTCCAAATTATGAAGATTTCCCAGTTGTGGAATTTTCCCTGCACGGGTATTACAAAATTACCAACAAATTAACCTCTTTTTCAAGTATATTATAGGCTTTCTATTTAAACAAAGCTGATTTCCAACATAGCATGTAACTTGAGGCCACACCACGCTGGTACAGTTACACATATTAAAGCGAAGAACCATTATCATCCTTTCTTGAGCAAGTTAAGGTTGTGATTTAATTCAAATGTTTAGAACCAAGCATGTAAAACTTAAACACAGCTAATTTGTACATTTTATTTAAAACTAAAAGATTGCAATGAAACACAGCTCATCTCTTCGCAAATCCTACCTTGTGGTTTTTTTTTTTGGTAAGTAAATCATGGTCTCTATATGTATAGAATCATTTTAATCTGTGATAGGCCTTTCGATCAAAGTTTTAAAAAAGCAACTTTCTTTCACTTATTGTTCACCTTTTCTGGAAGCCATAAGATTAATAAATCTTTATATTTTGGTCATAGATGTCCATTTTTTTAATCTAACTACATCATGTCATGTCATGTTCTCGTTGCTTTTATACTTCAATCCAAAACTCAATAAGAATGCCCTTTGGGAGAGTGAGTCCACATAAGTTCTAAATTAATCTATCTAGTTCTATAACTGGGTCACAAATAATCTATTAAAATATATTTCTGGAACAAAATAATTTTTTAGTATAAAGAAAAAAAAAATTGCTGGCAAATTATTAATTTATATATTTGAATGTATCTTTCATACATTTATTCCTCCAAGTAAATAATATACAACATTAATATATATAGCACAAATTTCCAAACTTTACCGATTTGCAAAACTTTGTTCAGAATCATTTTATAAGATAAAGTCTTTGTCCATATGTAAGCAAGCATGGACGTAGCAAGGGATAACAAAAACAGAATTTATTTTACCTTTCAAGTTGTTTCCGCCAAGATATAACTCTTTTAGGAATGTTAAGTTCCCAATATCTCTTGGTATTTCTCCATTGAATTTGTTATTTGACAACCACAAGGTTTGAAGTTCCGAGCATTCACATGAAGGAATTTGGCCATCAAACTGGTTGTACGACAAACTAAGCGAGTATAGTTTTGGAAGACTGTAGCACATATCCATTGGAAGATTACCCGACAGGGTATTATTGTCCAAACCAATTCCTTCCAGTGAGGAGATGTTGAAGATGGAGGCTGGTAAGGAGCCCGAAAGCTGATTCCACCCCATGTCCAAATCCTTCAGATTAGCAAGCTTGCCAATTTCTGTAGGAATGTTTCCTGTAAAGTCATTGAGAATGAAAATCATGATCGACTTCTAGTCAACACAAATTACCTCTCTCCTTAGGATATCATAATAGAAATTATTGTTTCTAATTAACTTTTTAATGTTGAGGGATAGCAGGGTGGAGAGGTTATGTATTTAATATTCATCCTAGTAATTAATTAATATACATCATTAATAGAGCACAAATTCCCAAACCATCTTGTTATGCAAAATTTTGTCACTGTATAAGATAGAGTAGTTGCCCATATGTAAGCACATATGGATATAGTAAGGAGAACGAAAGCAGAATTTATCCTACCTTCTAAATTGTTTGCGCCAAGATATAACCATTTCAGGAAGGTCAAGTTTCCAATTTCTCTTGGTATTGCTCCACAAAATTTGTTATATGACAATGACAAGGTTTGAAGTTTGGAGCATTCATCTAAAGTGGAAGGAATTTGGCCTTCAAACTGGTTGTGGGACAGATTAAGCCTGGAGAGTTTTGGAAGAAGGTAGCACATATCCGCTGGAAGATTACCCGACAGACTATTACTTGTGAAAGAAATAGTTTCCAGTGAGGAGATATTGAAGATGGGGGCAGGTATGGAGCCCGAAAGTTGGTTCCACCTCATATTCAGAAACTTTAGACTAGCAAGCTTGCCGATTTCTTTAGGAACGTTTCCTGTAAAGTCATTGGAAAAGAAATTGATGGATTCTAGTCTACGCAAATGACCAATCTCTTCGGGGACATTACCATAGAAACTGTTGTTTCTGATGTCTAGAAAGGCTAGAAAGGAGAGGTTTCCAATGTGTGGAGGGATGGTGCCTCTTAGGCCCATGTAAGAAAGGTTCAAGACAGCAACTCTGTGGTGGCGAGTGCTGCAATGGACACCAATCCAGTTGCAATGGGAGGTTGAGGTGGTCCAATTGTTGGCCAAAATACTGCGAGGGTCGCTAGTGATGTGGGATTTCAGGGCAAGAAGAGCCGATTGATCAGTGGTGATATTGGTTGCAGTCCTCCTACTAGTACTCACCGTCACAGCCAAGCAAGCCATGAGAGAGTAGTAGTAGTAGTGCACCAACAATAGAAATGTAACAGAAACAAGGGAGCTAGTTTTCTCCATCATGAAAAGGCGACACAGCTGGTCGAGGTGAATCAAAAGAGGAAGTTAAGTGTTGTATTAATATGATAAATTTAGTCTAGTTGTCTCTTTCGCTTTAATTAGCAATTCTGATGAGATATATGTGGCCTTGCCTCAAGTCTTTTAAGTCTTGGCATATTTCCACAATCGAAAGCTATCCCCGTGGTACACGGAAACGCGGACCTTGATCATGTCAAAGTCTTCAAACGTGGAAGCTTCCTCTAGAAAATGACTCCATAGTGATTATTCATGCATTTTGTTTTATGCCTTAAATTCAGTCTTCGCTTTTGGACAAGAAGATTTTGTTCACTTCTATCCCTTTCCCTTTCAATTTGCAGACCCACCTTTTAATTCATGTATAATGAATGTCTCCAAGTCAAGATTCCACACAATAGTACGTTTGGAAAATCAATCAAAAATTTGGTTAGCAATAAAGAGATCCCAAAATTATGCCTCCAGTTGCGTTAAGATGGTTGGATGGGGATTCAAACACATATCATATAACATTATTTTCACAGGCAATTCAAGACCTTCCAGTTGAAAAGGCATGTCTTGAATTGTTTGTAGTCAGCCATATCAGATCATCCAACAGTAGGAACCCTGCATGCTATTGATATGCATGGTATTGTGCAATTACTCCCCTAGCTCATCCAAACATTGGAATGCCACCAAAGTCCTATGCGCAATCATGTCTTCATCTACCAGGATGTTGATGGCAACTATATCTTCATCTAACAGGACATCATTATTGGCTTCAATAACAATGAATCAATGGTATTGAATAACCATAGTCCAGATTAATCATCCAATGCAGATGCCACATCTAGCATTATATCTAATCTTGACAAATGTATCTAAGTAGTAGTTATCAGAATACAACTGCTTTAATTTTTTATAAAATAATAAAGCAACATTTTTTTTTTTTTAATAATATATTTGGCTGAAATTTTGTAGAAAAGAATTAGAAAAAAAAGTAACTTTAGGAAAAGGTAGATAGTCTCATAGTCATCGGAATTTCGGTGTAAGCTCCACGAATTAATTGTGAAGCTAGTTGAAGTTAGGGTAAATGATACTTCTATTTATTTGACAGGAAAGCTGCTTGATGCTTGATGCTTGATGCTTGATGCTTGATGCTTCTACCAGAATGGATAGTGTATTTATTTAGAATTATTAGTCAAGCAAGCTGCTGCCAAGTGATGAATCGAATTCAAATATAACTATAGGTTTCAGGCATATGGCTACAATGTGTTCCACTTTTGAACATTGCTTCTAATTAGGGCTGTAAGTTGGGCGGGCCTAACCCAATCCGGTCCCAACCCAACATCAACCTAAAGTCGGATTGGGTTGGGCCAGCCCAATGTCAAAAAATCTGGACTTTAACGGTAACCCAAGCCTGAATGTGTTCGGGCTGAACGGGCTGACCCTTTTTTATAAATTTCTTATGAACAAATATGCAAATTAAATCGTTTCTTTTCCAATTTGAAACATCATGAAATACTCAATTATTAATTTTTATGTTTTTTCAACTCTAATTTTGTTTTTATTAATACAAAAATATAAAACTTACCTTATTTTATTTTAAATATAAAAGTAAAAAAAAAACTTTTTCTTTTTTATTTGTTATTAAAAAAAAATTTATTTTTAAATTACTCCAAATAAAACCCTAAAAGAATTCACGTGCATATATCTAATTCTATAGACGCCGAGTGGGCAATAGCTCCAATCAGAATAAGCGTACTACCCAAAGGGCCTTTTTCGCTATTTGGGCTCCCCAAATCCACCGCAGCAGCGGTGTTTGTTTTTGAAGAGCGAAAATCTGGAGAACCTGATGGTGTGTCTGTTTCTGGAAAGCGAAAATTATTGACGTGACTCTTGAAATTGCTGACGTTACTCTCAAAAAAACTGAAATGACATTTTTTAAGAGTCAAAATTTTAAAAGACCGGTGCGGATATTCTTAGTAGATTCTTGTATCCAACTTCAAGTAGATGGAACAAAAATAAACCGACTCTTTTTGAGTTGGTTCGAGTTACTTTACAATTCGGCTGGCACATGACAATACTTGTGAAAGAAAGGAGTGATTGTGTAATTATGCAGAATTTTGTTAAATTTCTTTAATTAATACTCCATTATGGGTTGAGGTTTCTTGTGCAAGTTCTAAATTGATCAATCTGGAAGAATGACCAACGGGCCTTGTTTTGAAACCTGGGCTTGGCTTGTACTAGGAATGGGTTTGGGCTGAGCTTCTTGCTTCTGTTTTTACTTGTTTTGTTGGGCCTCTATGCCATCATATTATCTTTGGACCGTACGTCGTATTTGCATATAAAGTAATGTTCACAATGATTGAGAATCTGCTCAATCAATTTTAATTGAATAGTGAATTAGGGATTGAATTTTAATTGAATAATAATTTAGGGATTGAATTCGCAATTATCGAATTCAATTTATATATGAGGTGCCGAGTCTCATCACATTACATAACTACATTAGATAACGTCATCATAACATTGGATGGTGGGGTCTATCATTCCACTCACATAAATTGAATTCGTTTCTTAAATCATTATTCATTTTAAATTGCCCCTCAACTCTAACTAATTTAGCAAAATGAAATATAGACTGTTCTTCAGTGTCAAAAAAAAAAAAAGAAAAGAAAAAAATTCCTAAATGGAGGAAATTTTAAAGAATAAATGAGAATTCATCATAGTATCTTTATTGCAAACACACATTCAATCACTTATAGCACTAACATTTTTAGTTTTACAAATAGCGCAAGACTACTACCATTACATAGTTCTTGGACATATCGACCAATAACTAATAAACACATTTTTTTATTTATCAAATCAAAGATGGCGAATTACATACTCCACTTACCCTCTGGTTTGGTAATTAAAAAAAATGTGTTCATTTGTTATTTGTTCACATCATTAAGTATTGTCCAATTTAATATAGTCTTCATAGTTACATGGCATACACCCATTGTCCTACACAAATTTTGTTAGGTTGGAAAATTAAGCTGAACTAAATACAAGTAAAAAAAACAAAGCCAATATAAATTCAACCTTTATTTTTCAACCACATGCAGATTTGAATTTTTGAGCACTAGTAGAACTTAGGTGGGGGGTGGGGGGCTGTTGGATGGGAAGGAAAAATTGTATTTTGGTCTTGCATAAAAATAAAAAATAAAATTGCATAAAGGTGATGTATTTATCTAGTAATGAATGTTGGGCAGCTAGAAATAAGCAATGAAATACTTTCCAAATTGAGAATCAAAGCAGAGTGTTTATTTTTCAGTTCTACCAACAAAATGCAACAATATTAACAAACAGAATTAGAAGATATATGATATGGAAAAGGAAAGACGCCAATTTATAATAGAAAAGTACTAGTATGTGCAGAATTAAAAATATCACAAGTAATTTTATCATTTAAACACAATCCTCGAGTATAAAAACAAGGTCTAATGTACCATTATCTGAACACTGTAATCCAAACTAAAATTTTACCCTTGTGCCTTGTCATATTTAGCGGGAATGTTGTTGGTACAAGCTGCAACTGAAGAAGAGAAAGAAGCGACAACTCCAGAAGAATCAAGATTTCCTCTAACCACTGAATAAGCATTGGTTTCATCATAATGTGAAACAAAGACTTTGATAAAGCAATAACAGAGAATAAATAATTTAAGATACTTGACCCTCAACTAAAAAATACCCAAATAGAACGTCAATAATAAAAAAACAAAATTATGTGACTAGAAAATGAGAACTCAGCTATGCATTGTGCGTACCAATGGAATTAGTACAACAATATATCCTCACATTAGGACTCACTGATGGATTTAAAGTTGAAAACAGAATAAATAATAGACTAAAGCCTAAAAATGTTTAATGTTTACTGGAAATTGACTCAGTTTTATCAGTAAACTACCAATCCTTGCCCCTAATTATTTTTGAGGAAATTTTACTGCAGTTTCAAAGTTTATATGAACATTAACACGAATATACAATTCCAAATTAAGATTAAAAAGTTATATAGATATTTGCACAATGTATACATTTTGCAAAATTTTCAATAAATAATAAATAAATAAAAACAACATATCCAACAATATAAAGCAGCTAAAAATGACAAAATAACATGCAAATAGTCCCAGTGCACAACTCAAGCTCAAGAACCCTACAAAACACAAAATTGCAGCCTTTTCTATTATGGATACTTCATAATTTTCAAGTTAGCATCAACCCAAATTCATAAACCAAGCAAAATTCACACATTTTCTGTCAGTCAACACCCAATCGACTTCAAACAAATTAAAACTTGTTAGCGCCTGGAAGAATTAGTGAAACGAGTATTCCAATTTAATTTTGATTATGATACAAAGAAACCTTTTCTTAGTTACCAAACAAAAATTAGACTAGTTTAGAGGGAGTTGAGACTGTGATGTGTATATATACACACTAATATATAGCCCTAAGGAGACGGAAGAGCAAAACGGCATGCCAAAAATTCATAGAAATGAGGAGAGAATCCTCATTTCATTTATATACACGCAGGGGGGAAGGATGATGTACCCAATGCACTCAAGTTAAGAACCCTAAAATCAAGCACATCTCAAATAAATACGAGAGAAAAATAACATAACAAAAGAAAAGAAAAAAGCGGGTCTTTGAAATTTCAAACGCCCTAGCAACTCATTTGTAAATACCGTATAAAAATTAAATACGGTATGTGTTTTAAGTTATCATATTTACTGTCTTCTGTTTTTACTAATAGTAACTTGCTTAATGGGTGAGCCAAACGCGCCCTTATTCACTTACAGGAGGGGCTTGATGAGATTCTCAATAGAGAGGATCCGTGCCCCCTATTTGATATGTTTTGAGTGATAAACATGGATGACACTTCAAACACATCTCAAACAAAAGCGTCTTGGGCTTAATGTTTTAGGTCTCAAATATCATTTTTCAATCTTGATTTCTAGATTAGTGAAGCATGGCCACTCTGTTATTTATAGTGGCCACTCTTATTTATAGTGATGCACATCAACTATAGCCACTGTGGTATGTGGTTAAAACATCTTCAATTATATGAATAAGATGTAATAATCTTCATTAAGTAGCAGGTGGTGAAATCTTTCCAGATAAAGGATTTTACCTCTACCTATGTCGTTGATAAAGAATCCAAACTGTATTAATCTTTGGAAACACTATTGTGCATCCATTGTTTTTTCAGCCCTCCTCATATCTAAATTTTCTGAATTGCCATTAGCATTTATATACTTGCCAGGTATATTGTGAAATAATACCCATGTCCGAAGGAGATGGTTCCAAATATATTTTTACATTTGTTCAACATTACATGTTTAAAAAATAATTAACAACAAAATCATTAACATCTGTTGATATTTGTATCCAGGGAAGGAGCCAATTAAGGCGAGAGCGGGGTATCTTCTGGGCCTGGCCCCTATATATTGAATTAGCAATTTTCTAGTAACATGATCGTTTTAAATTGAGTTTATCTGCTTCAAATTAAAGATTAAAAAGATCCCGCAAAGTTAGAGTTGCACAAAAAATAATAAATCATTCAGCTAAATGCATACATGATTAATGGAAGATATATTAGAGCAGCACATTAAGAAGATCTCGCAAAGTTAGAGTTGCACAAAAAATAATAAATCATTCAGTTAAATGCATACATTATTAATGGAAGATATATTAGCGCAGAACAAAAGCTCGAAGCATTTTCTAACGAAATAGAATAAATACTTGCCAAAAAATGTTCATAAAGACCTAATTCGAAAAGGTGGCGATGTGAGAGCAGATGATGGAAATGAAAGCAAGTAAAATACCCACTAAAATAATTATTTTTTAAAAATATCTTTAATTTTTCCTTTCTTTTCATTTTTACTCCTCCTCCTCCACTTCTTCTTCTTTATATTCTTCTTCTTCTTCTTCTTCTTTATATTCTTTTAAAAAACAAAAAAGTTGCATTCATGTATTCAAACTATTTTTTTTTCTCTTCAAAGTTTGATAATTAAATTTGTTGCTAAACAGACTCTTAAGATTAGTATTTTATATTTCTATTTTTTTTTAATAATAATTATTTTTCAAATTATTAAATGTTATTATTCCACCATTATTACAGTTCTATTTTTTGATTTATTGTTTTGCAGCATTATTCGTTTGAAAAAAATATAATACAGGCGCCCCTGTAACAAATTCCTGACTCCGCCCATGCCTCGGACCAACCCTATTTCTCACAAACCTCCATCTTCCTTATCCATGTTGATTTACTCATTGACGTCAATGCGACAACCGCCAAAACAAACAGTGATTGTGAAGGGTTCAAACCCATTTTCTTAACATCCTCCACTACCTCCTTGAATCTATCAGGCTTTACAATCATGAGTGACCTAGGCTGATGAGTAAGCAAGTACACAATATTCGAATATGGCACCCCGTGTTGTCTCAAAATTTCAGTGCTGGGGAATGTAGTAGCACTATGATCGCGGCATACCATCCCAGGGAATCGTTTAAAGGCCGCCATAAAGTTATCATCCAAACCAAATATATTCTTCAACAAATTGAAAGACGGTATGATTTGGTTCTTCAAGCTACGGTGCAATATGCCAGGGCTAATGGACACTATCTTCAAGAGCTCAGTGCTGGAAATGCCAGTGGTGTAAAAGAAGTCGAATTTGGGCAGAAGGATTTCCTTGGGATCCGATAAGAGAAGTTCCGGGATTTTTCTAGTGATAGTTGAGATCTGAGTTTTGCTGAATCCATGGCTCTTGAACAAGTTGAGAACCGAATCTGGTTTTTCTAGATTTTTGAAATTGACGCGTTTGGAAGGTGAAATGGCAGTTTCTGGACTCAACCCACATGAATTTATCAGGTAATTGACAGTAAATGAGTGTTGATCTGCGGAAGTTGAGATGGATTTGAGAGATGAAGATGGGATGGGTTTGAAGGGCATACAATTTAGGGATTGTTGAATCTAGAACACAAGAGACACTAGAACGAACTAGTATTTTAGTGTATATATAAATCATTATTGGAGATGGAATGCGCTGAACACCGTCAAGAGGAACTCACCTGATCGTTAGGTGCTCTTGAACCTGCAGTATCTCTAGGGTTGTGTGACGTTTGAGTTCACTTTGGCTGAAGCATAGGTTAAGAAGACTGCAGAAATGCAAATTAGCAGAAGAAAACGACGACGTTTGAAATATCTTTGTTCTTTTATTCTTTTTTTTCACTCTATTTTTCTCGAGGAGTCTGTTAAATTTTGCATCAACAATGCATTTACCAAATCCCATCCCAATATAAATATATATATATATATAACGTTCGTTTTCTTTCCTTTAAAAATAATAGGGTTAATTACAGTGACACCCCTGAAGTTTGTTATAATGACAGTCATATATAAGTTACATCATTTTTTAATGATGCCATCCCTTTAGGTTTGATAAAGTTAACAAAGACACCCCCTATTAGAATTTTTAATCCAAACAGACCCTTAAAAGATGAGAAAAGACTAAGTTGCCCTTCAATAAAATACTAATTTTTGATTTAAAATATCCAAATCTTCAAATGATAGAATTACCCTTATTAATCCCAATTTTATCTCTCTATCCTCTCTTATTGAAAACCCAGAATTTTGCCCCCAAAACCACCTCCACCACTTCCACCATTGCCACCCACCACTGCCACCTCCACCAAAAAACGAAAAGATAGGGCTTCCCCGATTGACTCCATTTTGCTCATAGTTAGATAAGTTCTGACTCTTTTTTTTTTTATAGAGGGCTTTTTCTGAATAATTTTCTCCTCCAGATTCGGGTGTGGATGTGGAGGTGACTACAACTTTCTTTGATCCTTTGATTCATTCCACGCTGAAGCAATCCAGTCTTTTCTTCATTCAAATCTCTAAATATAAAGAGTTACTAAAGGAGCAATTTTGACACAGCTTGGTTAGAGAAATTGCAAATGTGTTTAGTGAGAATTATTGCATACTATTAAATTTTTTTTTTTTTTATAGGTAATAATCAATGTTTTCTCTATACCTATCCAATGTGTTTCTTCAATTTTGTGGGCAAATATATATATATATATATATATATATATATATATATATATTTCTTGAAAGAATGAACGGGCGATAGTGGTAGAGAGAGTGGAGGCAGTGCCTTCGTCAAAGCATCCACTGGTCGTGGAGACTCGACGGCGAGCTTGCGAGCAAGTTGGAGAGCTCGGCTGTGGATGAACTGTGGCAAACGGTTACGGACTAGCTGTGACGGCTTGATGGAGCCGATAGTGACGGGCTAGTTGACTGCGGTGATGAGCGAGGAGGGACTCTCGGCTTTGATGATGTCCACCAGCGAGCAAGGAGAACTTGGTTGTGGATATCTGCGACCGGCGATGAGAGTGATGGCGAGGTCGCCAGTGGCTATGGATCGGTGAGACAGATCCGGATGTCCATCGCAGGGACTCTCGGCTTTGATGATGTCCACCGGCGGGCAAGGAGAACTCAGCTGTGATCGGCGATGAGAGCGACGGCGAGCTCGGCCGGTGGCTGTGGACCGGTGAGACAGATCCGGCGAGGGAGGTGGCTGTGGTTGGCGACGGTGCTGCTTTTTTGTTGGACTTGTATTATATATATATATATATATGATGGTGCTGATGTAATTAGTGTATATATATAAGGGCAAATTTGACTTTTCATAAGTTATGATATTTTACCACAAACCTGAATTAAACATTGAAGGGCAATCTCATCTTTTTTACATTTTAAGGGCTTGTTTGGATCAAAATTCTCACAAGAGGTGTCATTGTTTAAAAAAGGACTAAATTATATATGACTGTCAATATGTCAAATCTCAGAAAGTGTCGTTGTAATTAACTCAAAATAATAATAATATCTATATATAGGACATTAGGTCTCAATACGTAAAAATTCATATTCATACCTGAAGATACAATTTTAAATTAGAGAACTATAAATATCTAAATTATCTCAAATAAGATTGGTTGAAAGTTTGGTCTAATTATAAGGGGAATACTGCTTCCTACCGTGAAAATTTCTTCATATAAGCGAAGTGGATAAGTAAACACATGTTCTAAATTTAAAATAGGGTGAATTGTAAAAAAATTACCCTCGACAAATTTCTGAATAGTTTTTGGCCAAAAAAACTCCCATCAACTATTCAAAAAGGGTTGTTTCTAACTGATGTCTGTTTAAGTGATTATTTGAGGAAATTTTTCGGACGAAATTATCCGTTAACAGATTATTCTTCAAACAATTTATTTATTTCTTTTCTCTCTCCCCGTCAAGCAAAGTATATGGAAGCAGCAAAGAAAAATTCCCCAAAAAAACAAAAAATGAAAAGCTAATAAAATCATCTTTAAGCTATGTATAATTAATAAAATAAACAGAGAGAGAAAATCCACCATGGCGTTGGAATAGAAGATGAAAAAATTAAGCAACTCAAGAACTCCTTCAGTGCATTTGATCTTTAGAAGCCATTATAACAATTAATTATTTTAATAAAAATAATTAATAATTTGCCATGTTTCCTTAATCCAATTTCTTTCTTTTCCTTTCCTTAGTCCAATTTCTTTCTTTTCCTTAATTCAATTACGCTACTGTATGGTATGTGGACTAAAATTGGCAATTAAAAAGCAACATAATTTCTTTTCTTTTTTTAAATTTGATTTTTGTAAATAAATAAAAAAATACCTTAAATATTTTTTACTTCGAGAACACAAAATACCTTAAATATTTTTTACTTCGAGAATACAAAATACTCCAAAAATAAATTGTCGGAAGATTAATCTATTAAGGGATAATTTCGTCCAAAAAATTCCCTCAACCAACCACTTAAACAAACATAAGTTAAAAACATCCCTTGATATAATTGAGGGCTGATTTTTTATCAAAAATATTCATAAGGGGTTTTTGACAACTAGGTAATAGTAAAAAGGGTTTTTTTGCAATTCGTCCTTTAGAATATTATTTAAAAAATAATAGTAGCAGATTTAATCCGGGTTTTTGGCAACTAGGTAATAGTAAAAAGGGGGTTTTTGCAATTTGTCCTTTAAAATATTATTAAAAAAATAGTAGTAGCAGATTTAATCCATTTTTAACAGGGTTTTATCTCTCCGCCATTAACCAAAATCTAGGTATTTTTAGATTTATTTATATATATATAAATATATTAGTACATATAATTTTTATTACAGAGATTGATTTTTTATGGTTTTAGACTTCTAATATTACTAATGGTTGATCCGTTTGGGTCAGGTTAGCATTTTGCTTCACCAATCACAATCCTCTCCCCTCTTCCTCACATACGCATAAATTTCTGCAACATCCAAAACATAAAATTTGTGCAACATCCAAAACACCAATCAACTGATTAGGGTGGGGAGAGAGATAAAAATAGAAAGAGGGTGGGGAGTAGTGCTGCTGGCGGTGGTGGAGAGAGAGAAAGACGGAGTGGTGGTGCTGGTGGCGGAGGGTGGGAGAGGGGCATTAGGATTTTTCTGGATCGGAGGTTGAGAGAGAGCATTTCTTCCGATGGATTTTAAATGGAATCCTATCTTCCTATCTTCTGTTGTTAGTCCCCTGCGAATATGGCGGAATAATGAATTGTGAAACAACTACAGAAGTCTTGAATACATGCAGTAGCAACAAAAAGAAAATAAAATAAAAATGATATACTCAACCCATTTCCATCACCACCTGTATTCAATCTAACCACCATATCACATTCTCGTGTGTGTGTGTGTGTATATATATGTATATGTATATATAAAATATGTATCATAATTTCACAACACACTTTGACCATTTGACCACAACACACTCACACCATTCAATTTGAGGCACTTCTAACAGAGACAAAAGAAGAAATTGTCTTCCATGCTACAATGTTTAGATTTATGAACTCAAAATATAACCATAAAGGACAACGTTCAAAATCTAGTGACTCTAAGCTGCAAAACTGGACTGTCCATTTTTTATGCCTAATCAAAGCAACAATGAATATCATTCACATTGAATTCCACCTGGAGCTGGAATGTCAGAATTTTTGGTCGTAAAGGAAGGCTTTGAAGCTGATCTTTTCTTGGGACACAGTGTTGTTGCAGTAGAGCGTGACTGCTAATCAGCAATGGCCTTGAGGCCTTCAATTAGTGGCTGGAGCAATGGAGCTCACACTCCTATTGCTGATATCTACCTTCTTCCGTGTCTCAAAATGTTGACCTTCATTCGGCTGCCGAGGGAACGCAGTCCTGCACCCATAGCAGTCCATTGTGTTAGTCAAATTGTTATGGAGGCAAAAACATTGGCAAAGTTGGCAAAGCGCCCAACTCTTGAGCAGGTGTGCCCGTGTTTGAGTCTCCCCTCCCCCTTGTTTGCCAGGATAATAAGCTGCGAAATTGGAACAATGATTATCATTCAAATTGTATTTCCACCTGGAGCTGTACTGTTTGCCTGCAACAAAAAGGTCAACATTTGGGCTGACATCTTTTGTTACTTAACAAATTGCTGCTAGTTATGTTGTTCTAAAAAATTAGGCATCTTTTGTTACTTTAAGAGGGGCATACACTTGTGCAGTATATGTATCCCAGGAATAAAATCAAAACAGCAAAAGTGAGTTATGGACTTGAGATTGTTTGTACAACGGACAGACTTCTGCATAGTTTAAGGTCGTTAGTGCAATTCTTCATTGATCACCCACAAAAAGAGACTAAGAACACTCTCACCAAAGCCTCCAACAGCTCATAACATTCTCCATTGACAGTGAACTTACTAGCAGAGTCAATATCACATCATCAAACAAATCCCTTTCTCTTCAACTAGAGGCTCTCCTAGATTATTTTTAAAGCCCCTCGAACACCAATTGGGTTGTCTATAAGACATTAAGCTATTTTATGGAGAATAATTTTTGGTTCATTTTCCTCCAAGTAAGATAAGGACAATACTTGCCTACTCACCAGTGAGTATGAAGTTCCTTCTTACCACCAATGTGGTGCCAAAGTTAGGTGACACCTGTCCCTACAATATAAATAAATAAAAAATAAATAATTAGAAAGGCATTGGGTTAAACTCATTAATAAACCCGATTCAAATTAATTCTCATCCGTTGCTAGAATGTTTCACTAATATTACGTGCTGCTTGCCTATTTTACATCTCTAGAAATTACATATACTCTCCTCTCCTCACAACATTCACCCATTGAACCCCTACATCTCTCCTCTCTCTCTCTCTCACCAAATTTCACCTCTATTTATAGTGTCTTCAACTCATTCCTTGCTGGACAAGAATTACCACACTTGCCTACCAAGGAGTTACCATATCAGCCTTCAACCCTAAAATAGCAGCATCCCAATGAGAAACTACTTCCTCCATATGTCTAAGCCCTTTGGAAAGTCCCAAAGGAAAAAGGAGAGAGACATGTTATCTTACATTTGGTTCTAATGCAAGTGCTAAAGTAGATTTTACTAGTCGATAAGCAGAAGCATAATATAGATGATTGGATTGAAATTAAAGTCTAATAACATTAAGCAACACTTGGGGCTACTAAATATAATTTGAGAAGAAAAGGGTGGCTTTCACAGACGTGAAGACAGCTGCGATTGACGTCCCTGTTGCGGGTGTTGAAATACCTAATATTGGTTCTGATTCTCCTGAACGTTCAAGAGGGAAATCTATACAGAAGGTTTGGAAGCGCAAAGCTCGTTCCGGTGTATCTACTATTCTTCATGAGGGAATTACTAGTTGTTCAAAGAGAAAGCAAGTTGGGGAAAATGAAGATGCCGATGGGAAGAGATTGAAATTAGTAGAAACGGATGGGGGACGAGGTGGATTGTCAAGCAACAATGAATGTGAGGGTTCTCAAGTTGTTACTTCTGAGGTGGTGGTGACCAACCAAAATTGGCCCCCAACCATTTAATGAAAGTTACGGTGTGGAATTGTCGGGGTTTGGGGAGACCCCGGACAGTTTCCCAACTAAGAAGGATGGTGAACCTTCACTCCCCAATTTTAATTTGTTTATTGGAAACAAAAAATAAAGAGGAGCATGTGGAGAGTGTGGAGAGTGTGAAGAGATTGTTGGGTGGATATGATTCTTTTGTTGTCAATCCGAGAGGTTTAGCAAGGGGTATTGCTTTATTCTACCAACCTGATTGTACTGTTCGTATGGTGGAGTGGAATGAGTTTCAGGTCACTTGTAAAATTGATGGTGGTCATGGGTTTGGGAATTGGTTTTTTACAGGGGTGTATGTTTCCTGTGATGAGGTTGTTAAGGCTGAGCAGTGGAAGTATTTGGGTGAGCTCAGATATAGAATCGGCCCCAAATGGCTTATTATGGGGGATTTCAATTCTATTTATCATACAGGGGAGAAGAGAGGAGGAGCCAAGAAGAAGAGTTGGATGATGAGAGGGTTCAGACAATTTATTGAAAATTGTCAGCTTCTTGATGTGGGATTTAATGGCCCTCCATTTACATGGTGTAACAGAAGCGGGGAAGGTCATACTATTATGACTAGGTTAGACACAGCATTATGTTTGTTTGAATGGTCATCGACTTTCTCTCATTGTTCATTGAAACATTTGCTGGTTGTAGGGTCTGATCATGTTGTTCTATTGTTGGAGCTTAATGATCGAATGGGTGGATTTAGAATAAAGTTTCATTTTGATGCTAGATGGATTCAAGTTAAAGGTTTTCATGATTTTGTTCAGCAGTCCTGGATTACTCCTGGTCATGGTGGTGCTAAACATGCTCTTTCTCAAAGGATTCAACTTTGCAAAGAGAATCTGAAACAGTGGAGTAAGTCTAGGATGTCTAATGGTCCAGTGCAGATCACAAAGCTTCAAGAAAGAATCAGAGTTCTTCAAAATGATGTTTCTTTTGACAGGGTTGAGTATTTTAAACTTGAAGCTGAGTTGGAAGCTGCTTGGCGAAGCAAAGAAATGTTTTGGAAACAGAAGTCCCGGATCAATTGGTTAATGCACGGGGATAATAATACCAAGTTTTTTCATATAAAGACTATTATTCGAAGGAAAAAGAATGAAATTATTGGACTCGAAAATGCTTTTGGCGTGTGGTTTGACTCCCAAGGAAGAAGTGAGACAGCTTGCAGAAGGCTATTTTGCTGATTTATTTACATACTCTCTTCATTGTTTTAAAATCCCTCAGTCCAGTTACTATTACGGGAGGCGTTGGTTTGTGGAAATTTATTCGGAAGGGATGGGATGTTTTCTCTACTCTTATTAGATTCAAAGTTCGTAATGGCAGGCATGTTCGTTTTTGGGAGGATCTTTGGTGTGGCGACCAGTTGCTTTCACACTCATTTCCTAGGTTTTATAGCATTGCAACTAATAAGCATGTTTTCGTGATTGATTGTTATCATCTTGATAACAATGGAGTTACGTGGGATGTGCGGTTTAGGCGGTCTTTTCAGGATTGGGAAATGGAGGAAGTTTCTGCTTTTTTGGATATTTTGTATAGGCAGAAGGATATTGGCAGAGGGTGTGATGATATTTTGTGGGTTCCTTTGGCTCATGGTCGGTATGATGTCCGCTCTATGTTTATTCATTTATCCAATTTCGTTGGTTCCGAGTTTCCTTGGAAGTCCGTGTGGTGCTCTAAAGCCCCTCTTCGAATCGCGTTCTTCGCTTGGACAGCTACATTGGGGAAGATTTTGACTTTGGACAATTTGAGAAAGAGAGGTAACATCATTGTTAATTGGTGTTGTTTATGCAAAGACGATAGTGAATCCGTGGATCATATTCTTTTGCATTGTCCTGTGGCGTTTGGTTGTTGGAGTTTTATTTTCAGCATTTTCGGCATTTTTTGGGTAATGCCTAAGCACTCCTCTCAGTTGATTAACGCTTGGAAAAGCTATCCTGTTAAGAAACAAGCTCGTGCTTATTGGAAGATTGTTCCTCATTGTGTCTGGTGGTGTTTGTGGCGTGAGAGAAATAATAGATCCTTTGAAGGAAAAGAATCGTCCTTAGCTAATTTAAAAATTCATATTCTTCGTTCTTTATTCTTTTATGTTAGAGGAAGTACATGCTCCTCGATTGATGATTTCTTTGATCTCTTGGATTCTATTGGTCCTTAGATCTTTTCTCTTGTATTAGGGATGCGTTCCCCTTTTGAACGTTTTTCTAATATATTTTTACTTATCAAAAAAAAAAAAAAAATCCCTCAGTCCACTTGTGATAAACCTAAAGTCAGCTTACTAACTTTTGGTGGTCAGGCAAATCCTCCTCATCAAGTGTGAACTGGGTGAGTTGGGAAACACTGTGCGAGCCTAAGAAATTTGGTGGATTGGGCTTTAAAAATATTTCAGCTATGAATTTAGCTTTGTTGTCTAAAATTGCTTGGAGATTGGAGAGGATTCTTTACTATTTCCTACTTTTAAATCTAAATACTTTTTTGATTGTTCGTATATACAACGATGTCTTCCACTACGCGTGTGTGTGTGTTGGGGTTTGGGGGGGGGGGGGGGGGGGGGGGTGGTGGGGTGGTTATTCGAGGCCGGAGCTTTCTCTAGCAAGGTATCAGGGGACTTCACACAACCTGAGAGAACACAAGTAACCTGAAAGTTTGATTCGAAGCATTTTTAATGTTTGAGATGTGGGATTAATTTTTGAAAACTCCTTTGAGAAGGCTGGAAGGTGAAGATCGTTTGGTTTGGGGCTGGTCAGCATCCGGTAAATTTTCGGTTAATTCCGCTTATAGGATTGTTGGAGGGTTGGATCCAAGGTCGTCCATGGTAACAGTTCAAACAAGTACTAGTTATGCTCCTCCTCAGTTTGTTGTTTGGGCAAGCATTTGGAATCTTCACACAAAACGGAAGGTGAAATTTTTTTTATGGCAATGTTGTGGTGAGAGAGTTCCTGTATTCTTACAGCTTAAACAACGAAGGGTTATGGAAAATGCAACTTGTAGCATTTGTTGGGTTTATGATGAATCACTTTGTCACATGATGTTTTTCTGTTCCAAGGCACAAGATGTATAGAGACTTAGTCCTTCGCGGTTGCAATTCCCTGCAAATTGTATCCCATGGTTACATTGTTGGACTTGGTTGCTTGGTTTATGGAAAAATGTTTCAGAGGCGGATAGACTGACTCTTCAGCTTAGCTTCTTTTCTCTGCTGACAGATTTGGAAGGGACGAAATGATTGGGTTTATAATAAGTTCTCATGGGGTACGATGGAAATCATGGAGAAAGCAGTCTTTTACTTCAACGAGTTCCATGAGGTTAATAGTCTTGACTCAATTGTTTCTTCATCTGATCAATTTGTAGGTGGGTTGCTCCCACTAACACACAACTCAAACTGAACTGTGATGCCTCATTTTGTCCTTCCTCTAGTTGCTGTGGTGGAGGGTTTGTCTTAAGGGATCATTTGGGTCATCCTATTAAGGTTGCCTCTGTCTTTATTCATTTTGTGGCTAATGTGGAAGTAGCTGAAGTGCTGGTTGGTAATTAGAGAAGGTTTAGACAATGGCGTTATTCAGATGTTGATATTGAGAGTGATTGCCTATCTTTGGTGAAGTTTCAACCATCAAACTTCTTGTCTGGTCCACTCTTAGAAGATGTGAAATTGTTGTTGCGTGCCAATCATGGGTTTTCACTTGGTTGGGTGTTCCTAGATCCTGTAACAAAGTGGCTCATGAGTTAGCCAAAGATGCATTGGGTAGGAAAACTGGGGATGTTCAGTGGGATATTTGGCCTGGTTAGCTATTGAATGTTATTCAAATGGATTTGTCCTCTGTTTAATCAATAAAATTCTGTTTTGTGGTAATATATATATATATATATATATATATATATATAATTTGAGGCTTTAGCATCCTAGATATGATTTTATATTTAATAGAGGAAACTATTTATTCAATGCAATCAAAGAAATCCTGTCTTTTTTGGTACTTTAGTTATAAATGCTCCATACTTGATCTATTCACTCCCTTCTAGGTCATATTTTATTTATTGAGATATTTGTGATCGGATGATCCTTCTACATTCATTAGTGCAAATCTTCATTGATCACCCACGAAAAAAGAGTAAGAACACTCACACCAAAGCCTTCAGCAGCTCATAATATTCTCCATTGCCAGTGAACATACTAGGAGAGTCAAGATCACATAATCAAGAAAATCCATCTCTATCTTCAACTAGAGGCTCTCCTAATCCTAGGATTATTTTTAAAGCCCCTCACACCCCAAACTCCATATTTACCAACCTCCTGATTAAGCTAAACAGATCTAGAACAATCTTCGGTACCTCTTTCCCTCCAAGTAGGATAAGGACAATACTTACCTACTCACCAATGAGTAGTAAGTTCCTTCTTACCACCAATGTGGCGCAAAAATGAGGTGACACATGTCCCTACAATATAAGTAAATAAAAAATTAAAAAAAAAAATTTAGAAAGACATCGAGTTAAACTCATTAATAGACCGGATTCAAATTTAATTCTCTCCCTTTGCTATGTTGACTATCGATGGAGAATATTATGAATTGCTTGCCTAATATAACATCTCCAGGAATTACATATACTCTCTGCTCTCCTTACAGCACTCAGCCTTTCAACTCCTACATCTTTACTCTCTCTCACCCAACTCCACCTCTATTGATGAGAATTCCCACAATTTGTCTACCAATGAGTTACTATATCAGTCTTCAACTCTAAATTAGCAGCATCCCAATGAAAAACAATTTCCTCCACAAGTTTAGGCCCTTTGAAGAGCTTCAAACGGAAAAAGAGAAAGACTTGTTATCTTACATTTGGTTCTAATGCAAGTCCGAAAGTAGATTTTACAAGTCGATAAACTTATCAATTTTGCCTTTATAAATTAGCCACTCTATGAAGGGCTCTTGTCTTTGGGAGGATCAGCTCGGTCCAAGAAGGATATATATGTGTGTGTGTGTGTGTGTATGTATGTATATTTTAATGAATTATTGTTCTAACGTTCACTCTGCTACAACTTAAAATATCTTAAGAAAGCATGTCAAATAAATGCGCCTTGGGCAAGTGTATTAGGTCTCAAATATCATTTTTCAACCTTGATTTATCCTGCTGGCTACTTATAGGTTTGTGATGCATGGCCACTCTATTATTTATAGTGATGCACATCCACTGTGGCCACTCTGGTCAGTCGTTAAAGCCACATTTTCATTCAGTAGCAGGTGGTGAAATCTTTCCAAATAAAGGATTTTCCAATGACACGACTTTTACATATTGAGTTTATTTCCTTCAAATTAAAGATTAAGAAGATCTCGCAAAGTCAGAGTTGCACAAAAAATAATAAATCATTAAGCTAAATGCATACATGATTAATGGAAGATATATTAGAGCATCACATAATCTCTAAGCATTTTCTAACGAAACCAAATAAATACTTGCTGAGAAAATCGAATTGAGACATTTAAAATCCAACAAAAAATATTGTTCATAAAAACCTAATTCAAAAAGGTGGTGGTGTGATAGCATATGGTGGAAATGAAAGCAAGTACAAGAACAGGGATGTGTAAGCCACTTCAGTTCATCTAGGAAGTAGATCATCTACATCTAAAACTGATAAGTTCCACTCTTACCTTCATAAGCATGACCATGTTATTTTGCAATGTCCAATTTTTCTTGATATAGTTTCAACAACTGAGGAGCTTCCTCAAAACAGGTCACAAACTTCTCAAGGAACAAACTCTCTTTGCACTTCAACAATGTGGCTGGACTAATGGATTTCTTTATCAAACCTTTCGACAGCAAAACTTGAAGTACTGAACACCTGGGAATTATCCTCTTACCCAAGCTCATTGCCAGTACCAGTGGATCATGAGCAATTAGGGAAGACTTCCAACCCATTGTGTTGACATAAAAATTCAGCACCGCCATTATCTTCTTCTCGGATATCCTCATACAATTCGGAAATCTTGTAAAAGCCAAGATTGTTTCTTCCTTGGACCAACCCCACTTCTCATAAACCTCCATCTTCCTTTTCCATGTTGATTTGCTCATTGCCGTCAATGCCATAACTGCCATAACAAACACTAATTTTGAAGGGTTGAAACCCATTTTCTTTACATCCTCCACTACCTCCTTGAATCTATCAGGCTTTACCATGAGTGATATAGAATGAGCAGTAAGTCCACAATCTTCGAATCTGGCACGCCGTGTTGTCTCAAAAGTTCAGTGTTGGGGACTGTAATATCACTATGATCAAACTTTATGATCCTAGGGAATCGTTTAAAGGCCACCATAAACTTATCATCTGAATGAAATATATTCTTCAACAAATTGAAAGATGGTATGATTTGGTTCTTCAAGCTACTTGTCAATATGGTTGGGCCTTTGGATACTATCTCCGCGAGCTCAGTGCTGGAAATGCCACTGGAGTAAAAGAACTCGAATTTGGGCAAAAGGGTTTTATTGGGATCATATAAGAGAAGTCCTGGTTCTTTTCTGATGACATCTGACATCTGGCTTTTGCTGAATCCATGGTTCTTGAAGAAGTTGAGAACCGAGTCTGGTCTATCTAGGGTTTTGAAATTGACGTGTTTGGAAGCTGAAATAGCAGTTTCTGGACTCAACCCGCAAGAATTTATCAGATAATTGACAGTAAATGAGTGTGGATTTGTGGAAGTTGAGATGGAATTGAGAGATGAAGACAGTGGATGGGTTTGAAGGGCATACAATTTAGGGATTGTTGAATCTAGAACACAAGAGAAACTAGAACGAACTAGTATTTTACTGTTTATATGAATCATCGGAGATGAAATGTGATAGGCACTGCTCTTGAACAAGCAGTATCTACTCCTCCTCTAGGGTTTGTGATGATGATGAGTTCACTTTGAGCAAAAGGTTAGGAAGACGGTAGCAGTGCGTATAACAGAAGAAACGACAACGTTTAAAAACTGTTAAATTTTGTATAATAACGGATTTCATTTCCATAACCCAAGGCCACGGTATTGAAATTAAATTTTGTAGTCTTTTAATATTTAATATATTAATAAACATCATTCCTTCTCACTTTTTGAAATGTAAAGTTATTAAATAAATTATTATATTCAAATTTTGTTAATATATCTTTTTTATTAGATAATAGATAATTAATTTAATCTTTCTTATAACTGGATATTTTGAAAGGAATCTTTATTTTTTTTTTTATATATGTAATTTCTATTTGTAAAATTTCTTTTAAATTTTTATATGTAATTTCTATTTGTAAAATTTCTTTTAAAACTCTTAATTCTAAAAATAAATCTAAACACCATATTTAGAAGACTCGTTATACTTTAGAAACAGTTCGAAATTAAGACAATGTTTTCTCGAAGTATAATCATCTAATGATTTTAGCCTTTTGAAATTAAACAAAGTAACCAAAAATATTTTCGTATATTTAGATTCTTTAAACCCACTATGAATTAAAGAAATAAATTGTTCCACTCTATATAAAAATAATTGATTCTAAAACATTCTTCTGAGTTGACCTATCGAGTAATTTTAAACATTATCGAAAAATATAAAAATTACTTTTCAATATGTAATATATATACATAAATTAATATTTAGTAATGTTTATTTAAATATCATCTTTCTTCTTTTTTTTGAAATACAAAGTTACTAATTAAATTCTTATATTCAATTCCGTATGATTTAATTTGATAATTTGATATTGATCAGATAATTTTGGCTTTATATCAAAATTGTTTGCCAACTAGATAACTAACGACATTGCCAACTAGGTATAGATATTGTGCTCCCATGTATACACCACTATCTACATATCATGCGTTCAATATATATGTCAATTAATGAATATTGCCCAAGAGAATGTTAGCATAATGTCACGCCCCGTCTATGGAGGTTGTGCCACGCAGGCGACACGCAGACGCTGAGGAGGACGCTGCATGGCAACTGCATGGCAAGTGGAGTTTCTAGAGTCTTCCGGAATAGTCTAGAGTTATGTGGAATATTCTAGATATGTGTAGAAATGTGTAGAAGTGTGTGGAAGGTTCTAGAGTTCTCCAGAGTTGTGTGGAGTAGTATGGAGAATAGTATGGAAGTGTGTGGAGTAGTATGGAAGTGTGAAGAAGGTGGGAGAAGATTCTAGATAATCAATTTCCACCGTTGGTTAGAATGCATCCTAGCCGTCCATTAGGGATGGGGATGCCTATAAATAGAGGTAGGACTTCATTTTGCAGGGAACAAGTCCTAGAGTGAGTCTTGAGAGCCTTGTAGAGAGCTTGAGTGCTAGCCTTGTACAAAGCATTCTTTGAAGTAATAGAAGTGTTCTTTCCTTGCCAACTTAAGTGTCTTAGTGTGTGTGAGTGTGCAAGCCAAGTGAGGAGAGGGCGAGTGCAACTACAACACTAGTAAGCGCACGAGGGGAGTGTGTTGGCTAAGGTGTGCACGGGAATTAGGCTGACCAAGTACTTGCGAGAGTGGAAGCAACATCTTGGTGCCGCACGGGAGCAGCTAGAGTGGTGCTGAAACTCTAAGCCCGTGACAATAAGCCATAGTGAAAAAGTTTCATTGCCACCACGTGATATATTTATACAAGTCTCCATATATAATATACACTTGTATATACAACACACATTCATGGTAAACTTACAATATAATTTAGGAATATATTCACAATATACTTTTGGTTTTTCTTAAGCATATTAGTAATGAGTTGAAATATTTAAAATTTGATTGATTTATAATTCTGAAAACAATTCTCAGGAATTCAGAGAACAGAAAACTGTTAATTTTTTTATTTTTTGAAAATAATTTCAAAATGAATATATATTTATATGGCAATATTTTTTAATAGTGCTCCTATAATTTTTAAATTCCCCTAATTTTCTTTTGAAAAAAAAAAAAATTACATATATCCCCTTTCTTCAAATTAGTCCATATTTTTCTTTCATTTTTCAAATTTTTTTTTTTTTCACTTATAATGTAGTGTAACAGATTTTTCTGTTTCTTATTCTTTTTATTTTTCTTCTACTTATTTAAATCAATTCATAAATCGCTTCAAAATGAGAATACCATAGAACCGTTGTGATTGTATTTAACAAAAATATTATTAATTAATATTTTGGTTCTTATATTTGTGTATTTATTTTTTTACACTACTTATTTAGCATATTATTTTATAATTTTTTTTCCTTTTTTTTTACTAATTCATTTGGGCATTTGCATAAAATTTATTCTTTTGTTAATGGGTTTTTTTATTTTTTATTTTTCATGACATGCAGTAAATAAGTTTTAAAACCATAACCTATCTTTATAATGGTCTTTGGGCCTTACCTTTGTATATATTTTCATCCTTTAATACATTTTTCACGTATCAAATCACCGTTGTTATCTAAAATGAAAACTTGCCCTCTAAAAATTCTGATATATACAATGTGTATCCCATTCTCTAAAAGTATATTTTTGTAATTATATATGAAAAAGTAATACAAGAATAGTGTTTCATCCCTTCATACTAATTTATGTATAAAAATCTATCTTCAATGTGCATGAAATGTACAAAATCTATCTGTGAATTAAAATCTCTAAAATAATAGAGTTACATACTCATATATTAGTATTACGAGATACTTCACCTCTATAGACAGCTGTAGCATTTACTTGCAACGAAAAGGTCATCATTTGGATTTTAATTTCTTTTATTATTGTATAGCATTTACTTGCAACAAAAAGGTCTATCATTTGGATTTTAATCTCTCTTATTACTGTATAATACCTGCTGTATTTTTTTATTATTATTGAAAATTTATTGAAAAGGCAAAAAAAAAAACTACTACAAGACCACCCAGGCCCAAAATCTGTGGACCGACTTCAAGACAACAACATATTAAAGAAAAAATGGCGGAAAACAAAGTTCCTTACGACAAATTCTAAAATATTTTGGGTATCTACTTGAGTCCCCGGTGGTGATTATCTAATGAATAATCAAAGATGAAAATTTGGTAATACGGGACGGAAGAGAGAAAAATCCAAATTGATAACTCACCCGATCTCATTTCTTCTCGTTATTGGTTCACAGACGGTATCACTTACGAACAAACGGATATCAATATAAACTAGTTGAATTCGCTCTTAAATTACAAACACTTGAAATGGGTTAAATTAAGCATGTGATGGCTCACAAAAAGAACTGAGACATGAGTTGTCAATGTACCAGACTCGTATATTTGTTCTCGTACATGTATCTTGACGATACACCACGTTTGCATCCCCAGTCAACATATTCAATTTGCCACCAACAACCAACCTGAGAGATTTTAAAGTCCTTTCATACCTAGGTGTCACGCCCCGCCTATGGAGGTTGTGCCACGCAGGCAACACGCAGACGCTGAGGAGACGCTGTATGGCAACTGCATGGCGAGTGGAGTTTCTAGAATCTTTCGGAGTTGTCTAGAGTTGTGTAGAAAATTCTAGATATGTGTAGAAAATGTGTAAAAGTATGTGGAAGATTTTAGAATTCTCCAGAATTGTGTGGAGTAGTATGGAGAGTTCTAAAATGTCGTAGATACTAGTAGATAAGTATGGAAGTGCGAAGAAGGTGGGAGAATGTTCTAGAGAATCGATCTCCACCGTTGGTTAAAATGCATCCTAGCCATCCATTAAGGATGGGGATGCCTATAAATAGGAGTATGACTTCATTTTGTAGCCAATAAGTCCTAGAAGTGAGCTTGAGAGCCTTGTATAGAGTTTGAGAGCTAGTTTTGTACAAAGCATTCTTTAAAGTAATAGAAGTATTCTTTCCTTGCCAACTTACGTACCTTAGTGTGTGTGAGTGTGCAAGCCAAGTGAGAAGAGGGCGAGGGCCACTACAACACTAGTAAGCGCACGAGGGGAGTGTGTTGGCTAAGGTGTGCGCGGGAGTTAGGCTGACCAAGTACTTGCGAGAGTAGAAACAATGTCTTGGTGCCGCACGAGAGTAGCTAGAGTGGTGCTGAAACTCTAAGCCCGTGACAGTTGGTATCAGAGCAGGTTCGTCAAGGGAGCTTTGTGGAGTAGACATGGCTAGCAGAGGAGACCACCAAGTCCACGTCTTGGAGCAGAGCTTGGAGGAGAAGCTTGTCACACACTTGGTCTACACGGAGACCAAGTTTAATAGGCTCGAGAGAAGGATGGCGGAGCTCTACGAGCTGATTGATGGCATCGCCAACAAGGCGCAAGAGAAGAAAAGGGACTTGCATGATCGGGTAGACAACTTGCGCATGGAGATTGCCGAGTGCAAGAAGGAGTTCTCCCAGGCGCGCGAGGTCGTGGTGAAGCCAAGGAAGAAGAAGGCATCAAAGCCCAAGGAGTATGATAGGGCAAGGAATACGCGCCAGATTGACAACTTCTTCTAGCACATAGAGAGGTACTTTGAGTGCATGGAGATCGAGGATGATGAGGAGAAGGTGCAGACGGGCACCATGTATCTCACGGACATTGCCACTCTATGGTGGAGACATCGCTTCACTGGTAGAGGTGCAAGAGCGGTTGACACATGGGAGGATTTCAAGAGGCAGTTCTATCCCAAGTACGTCGAGGACCTCGCCATGATCAACCTAAGGCGCCTGAAGCAAAAGGGCAGCATAAGGGAGTATGTGAATGAGTACTCCAACTTGATGCTGGAGATCCTAGAGATGCCGGAGCGGCAACGCGTGTGCTTGTTCATTGATGGGTTGCAGTCTTGGGTAGCCACAGAGCTGAGAAGGAGGGAGCCTAGAGACTTGGCATTCGCAATGGCTATAGCAGAGCGCCTTGAAGACTTTAGGTGCGATGACAAGAGGGCCACGTCTCCCAGGAGGGACCACGGCAAAGGTGGGGGAAACCGACGCTTCAAGAAAGGGGGCTCGCCCAAGTCCAGTGATGATGAGCACAGCGATGAGGAGAG